GGTGTATGTGATCACACAGGCCGTTTTATTAATATATACACTGGACTACCAGGCCGTATGCACGATGCTCGTGTTTTTAGATATAGTAACCTGTACGGACAATTAACAAATGCGGAAGATCCATTATTGCCATCACAATTACATTTAATAGGAGATGCAGCATACCCTTTACTACATAATTTAATGACTCCATATAAAGATACCGGTCATTTGACAAGAAAACAAATAATTTACAACACCAAATTATCGTGTATTCGTAGCATTATTGAAAGAACTTATGGTTTTTTAAAAACAATATTTCGAAGGGTTTATTATTTAAATATCAATGACTTTGAATTAGGACAAAAAATGATAGCAGCTGCATGTGTGTTGCATAATTTTATGATTAATAGAGAAGAAATAAATTTTGCAAACGAAATAGAAATAGAAAATAACTTAATGTTATTACGCGATGTTATAGATCCACTTGAACATGGAAATGCTTCCGCTGTTGCAAAACGGGATGATATTATGCATTCATTTAGATAAAAAAACAAATTTTTATTAATATAAAGTAAGTTGTTTTATATGTCATATATAATATGTTTATAATTATAATAACATAAGTAAGTTACATACTATTTATAAGTAAATTTTATGTCAAGAAGATATGTAACATTAATCAATAAAACTATTGCAAAATAAAATAATTGTTAAATGATCTCCTTCAAAATCATGTATCACAAACAAAAATTTTGTATGTTTAACACATAGTATTATAAATACTGTTTTTTTAGCATTATAACTAAAATAATAAAATATGTATTTATAATCATAAAATTAAAATAAAATACATATGGCAATTTGTAACACGAAACAAAAATTTTAATAACAAAAAACCGAAGAAAATTATTCTTGTAAAGATTCTGAATCAAACAATTGTTTTATCAAGTCGTTTCGTTCTCGTTGAATTGCATTGCTTTCTTCTAAAGAGTCCTTCATTCTAAGGATTGCTTCTACTCTTTTTTCTTCAATTTCTAATTGCTTTTTTCTTAAATTGTATAATGATTTCTTTAATCTTTTTTCCGGCGATGAACGAATGTTATGACCAGATACTGTTGATGTGGAACATGAAGACAATGGTCTTATGGATGTACTTGCCATACATTGAAAATTTTCCTCATTCAATATCGGTGGAAAAGATGGAGTTAATACATTTGCGACAAAATTTGTGTTTAATATAGAAGCATTTTCTAGATTGCTTAATGTAAAAATATTTTCTAGATTGTTTTGATCATTTTCTATTATTTCCGATTGGCACGATAAGTTAGACGTTCCTGGACTTGATACACAACTTGTTAAAGTTGATTCTAATATTGGTCCATGATTAATTGTACGATCATTAGCAAAAATATCATTAAATATTTCATAGTATTCCCAAGATACTCGTCCACGTCCCGTACTGCTTTTTGAATTGTTCTGTTTAATTGTTTTATATGATCTTTTCATGTTTCTCATTTTGCGATATCTAATATGTCTTCATTAACAGAATATCCATGATTCTTCATTACTTGTACGATTTCACTCCATAACTGTTTCTTTTTCATTTTTGGATCGCG